TGGAGGTCTCCATTGACTAGGATTTTATGAGGGTGGATTACTCAAGGTGACAGAGCTAGTTACAAATAGCAGACAGGATTTGAACTCCTGAGCTGGGTGTTCCCTGAGGCAGGTCACTGGGTACATCATCTCCCTGAGGCAGGCTGATGCTGAGCTATTTGAAATACTCAAACTTAGGCTTTTGAATCTCAAGGGTCAGGATTGGTCCTGGTCAGGCCCTGACCCTTAGATATGAAGGTGTTGGGGGGGTCCCACATAAAGGCAAAGAGGGCTGTAGGAACAGAAAGCCAGAGCCTGTACCTGTACACAGGTTGAATAGATAAGGTTGTGTGGGCAGAGGAATGGGGAGAGTGATTGCAAGCACCTGCCATTCTTTCTTGAGGGTGACCTCAGCAGTTACCTGGCAATGGCTATGTAGACAATGTCTATGCCACCTAGTTTCAAGGCTAAGGTTTTAGCGTGGGCCTGTAAGTAGCAGGTAAACACAAAGAGCCATGTAAGTATCAGAATGACCCTGAACTAAAGCAGTGGAAGGGGGCAGGAATGAACTGGAATCAGCTATCAGTACTGGACCTCAAAATGCTGTCCAGAGGCTACAGTCTTGGCTCTTGTTACAACACAAATCCTTTTAATGGATGCACTAGCCCCTGGCGTGGCCAGAGTTTATGAGCATCACCATAGCAGGTCTCATAGTCTGGGACTAGGTAGACTTGTAAGGGGCTGGAAGGTGGTTGTGGTTCACTGGGGCAGGGACAGAACCAGCTGCAGAGGTAGGAACTTCAGTCTCGTGAGGAAAAGGTGCTTCTGGGGAGTACTTTTCTTTCTTTTTTTTTTATTGTTTTATTATTTATATGTGCATACAAGGCTTAGGTCATTTTTCCCCCCTGCCCCCACCCCCTCCCTTACCACCCACTCCGCCCCCTCTCTCTCCTCCCCCCGTCAATACCCAGCAGAAACTATTTTGCCCTTATCTCTAATTTTGTTGAAGAGAGAGTATAAGCCATAATAGGAAGGAACAAGGGTTTTTGCTGGTTGAGATAAGGATAGCTATACAGGGAGTTGACTCACATTGATTTCCTGTACGTGTGTGTTACCTTCTAGGTTAATTCTTTTTGATCTAACCTTTTCTCTAGTTCCTGGTCCCCTTCTCCTATTGGCCTCAGTTGCTTTTAAGATATCTGCTTTAGTTTCTCTGCGTTAAGGGCAACAAATGCTAGCTAATTTTTTAGATGTCTTACCTATCCTCACCCCTCCTTTATGTGCTCTCGCTTTTATCATGTGCTCAAAGTCCAATCCCCTTGTTGTGTTTGCCGTTGATCTAATGTCCACATATGAGAGAGAACATACGATTTTTGGTCTTTTGGGCCAGGCTAACCTCACTCAGAATGATATTCTCCAATTCTATCCATTTACCAGCGAATGATAACATTTCATTTTTCTTCATGGCTGCATAAAATTCCATTGTGTATAGATACCACATTTTCTTAATCCATTCATCAGTGGTGGGGCATTTTGGCTGTTTCCATAACTTGGCTATTATGAATAGTGCCGCAATAAATATGGGTGTGCAGGTGCCTCTGGAGTAACCTGTGTCACAGTCTTTTGGGTGGGGAGTACTTTTCATTCAGATACCTTTGTGTCAGGTCTATGCTGGAGCTGGAGGCCAGTCAGTCATTGTACTATCCCTAAGGTGCCCAGGGGATACCTTAGGGAAAAAGTCAGGAAGGGAAGAATGCAAATCAGCTGTTGCTAGAGATGTCATCAAGAAGGACATGAGTGGATGGTCTGCTTACTTGGAGGGTTCCTGAAGGAGCACAGATTTCACTGGGTGGTAGTGGACAAGGAGGAATTGACTACTATTGACTTACTAGATGATAAGGGAAGGGGATAGAGATGGGTGCATGAGGGAGGGGCATTCTAGGTAAGGGAGGAGACAGCCCTCCCAGAGCATGGAGACATGAGCCCATGTGACTCCCTGTGAACCGAATAGCGTTTAGTATGTCGGAGATGACTATGGCAGGGTGGGCTGCAGAGGCCGGGGCTGTGGTCCTCTCCTGCAGATTTTATCCTGGAGGAAGGAACCACTGGAGGATTGTGAGCAGGTCCCAGGTGACCAACGTGTTATGTAGCTGCATTAGGGGAAGGGTGTGGAGCGGGTGACAGGAGAACAATTATGTGGCAAGTATTTAGGGGTGGAACTCTAGCCCCAAAAGGAACTTGCTAGAATATCATGGGTCTCAGATTTCCAGAGCACACTCCCCCAAGGAAGATAGTGAATGCTGGGAATGGTGGGGGGGCATCTTGTCACAACTGAGGTCCAAGCACAAAGGCTGGAATTAGCCTGTGGTCAGGGCTAGCCAGTCAGATTTACAAATTGACAGCAGACTGCTCAGTCTTTAGGGATAGATTTAAGATTTACACCCAAATGCTGCCCTTCACCTTACTGTGTCACTTGGGGTTATCTATGTGTGCTGTGGGTATTCATGAAGACAGTGGCTCCCTCCCTTTTGTGCTGCAACCCTAGCAGGGCCATCTAGTGGTTTGGGGTGTAAGGAACAGTTGAGATGTACCCCTGGTGGCTACTGCCTCTCTCTCCCTGGCTATAAAGCTGATTCCTGCTATGGGCAGCCTGAGGGTAACAAGCTCCTTCCTTTTTTCCTTTCTTCCTTCCTTTCTTTCTTCCTTCTTTCCTTCCTTCCTTCCTTCCCTCCCTCCCTCCATTTGTCTTTTTGTAACTGGCTTGTTTCACTCAACACAGTTTCTTCAAGGTGTGTCCATCTTTTAGCATGTATCAGAACGTCCTTCCTTCGTTAAGCGGAACACTAGTGTATGTAGATGCCACCTTTTGCTAATTTGCTCATCTCTTGATGATGCTGGATGCTTAATGTTATTTCTACATTTTAGCTATTGTGAATAATGCTACCATAAATGTGGGTGTGCCAATATCTCTTTGAGACTCTACTTTCAATTCTTTTGGGTATGTAGTAGTGAGTGGAATTACTGGATCATATATTCTGTGTTTTTTTTTTTTGGCAGTACTGGAGTTTGAACTCAGGGCTTCTCACTTGGTAGGCAGGTGTTCTGCCACTTGAGCCACGTGTAGAGCACCCTGTGTTTAATTTTTTGAGGGACTGCCATATTGTTTTCTATAGAGGCTGTGTCATTTTACATTCCTACCAATGGTACACAATGGTTCCAATTTTTCCACACCTCACCATCCTAATGGGTTTGAGACATTATCTCATTGTCATTTCGATTTGCAGTTCTTTAATGATTAATGCTGTTGAACATCTTTTTGTGCCCATTGTATGTCTTATTTGGATAAATGTCTATTCAAATCCTTTGGCCATTTGTTTAACTAATTTTTTAAAATTAGGATATATTAGTTGCACGGAGGGGGGGGATTCATCAAGACAATTCCAAATAGGCTTAGATGGTACATTGGTTAGTCACCCCCACCGTCTCTCCACCTCAGCTCCCTCCCCTCCTCACTTAAAGCAATTGCAAGAGGGTTCTTTTTTCTGTTTTGTGTAAGTATATGAAGTTCCTTTGGCCATTTTTGAGTTGGATTATTTTTGTTGTTGAGTTGTAGAAGTTCTTTATATAATTTTGGATATTAACCCCTTATCAGATATAGAATTTGCAAATATTTTCTCCCATTCTATGAGTTGCCTTTTCACATCGTACCTTCTGATGGACAGAAGTTTCTCTTCTCCTCCTCCTTCTTTTTTGTTATCACATTTGCTGCTTTTGATGTCCGTCCTTAATTGTTGCTGCTAAGACCACTGGAGTTGATGTTTATTCACTAGAAAATATGGTTACTACTAATAAATGCATTTCCTTTAAATATAGGTCATATAAAGAAATAAAATTAGACTGTCTTTTAAAAATTGTATGTCCAAGCTTTACTTTCATTTTAGTAACTCTATCCATCCATCCTTCATTCACACAATCATTTAGCACACAAGTGCACACGTGGGGAGCCATGGGCCATGCCAGGTGCTAGGAACACAGAGCTCAACCTGGACAGTTGCAGCTTCCCTTCTCTGCAGTGCCTCCCTGCCCATCCCTGGGTACTTGGAGGACTTGCTCTGAGTTCTCATCATTTGAAATGTTCCTTCACTGTCACAGCTGCAGTGTTGGATTGTTTCTACATTCCCCTTGTCCCCGACTGGTGACAGCCTGTTGCTGCATCGTGTCCATCTTTGCATGTGGTAGTGGGAGATGCTATTTCCATCAGCTCTGCTGTTGAATGGAAGCATGGCAGGAGCTACATACACCACCCAGGCTCTGCCCCAGGACCCTCTCTGGTTTTCCTGAGCTGCACTTTTCTTTCTTATTGCCAAGACCATTGGCTCACTCTGTTACCTCTTCTTTTTAAAGCTGCAACCTCTCCTTTTATGTTGGGGTTTTTGTTCTCCCCACCTTAAAGTGATACCTAGTCACTTCTCACTATTCCCCAAGACTGTACATGGGTTACTGTAATTTTTCTTTTTTCTTTTCTTTTTTTGTGGTACTGGGGTTTGAACTCAGTGCCTATACCTTGAGCCACTTCTTTAGTTCTATTTTTGTGATGGGCAAGATAGGGTCTTGTGAATTATTTGCCTGGCCTGGCTTCCAACTGCGATCCTCCTGATCTCTACTCTCTGAGTAACTAGGATTACAGGCATAAGCCACCATGCCTGAATGGGTTACTGTGCTTTACTACAGGGGGAGGCACCCTTCTTGAGACTGTACATTATGCAGAGGGGGAGGGTGTGTGTGCGCGTGCGCGCGCGCGTGTTGGGGTGGAACTGCCGGGGGCAGCGATGTGCCTGCAGAGTGGGGCAAGGTGGGAGATGTGTTCATGGAAGATTGCTCAAGGATTCTAACAGAAGTGTTGGGACCACTTATGTGATCTTATATGCTGCTTTGGGTGCCGTCCAGGGGCCCTGCTGTCTTACCTGTATAGACTGGATGGAAGTGGCAAAGTCTTAGTGGGAGCCCCCTTTTCTCTCCAGGTTTCTGGGTGGAGCGCACCCCGGTGCATGAGGCTGCCCAGAGGGGCGAGAGCCTGCTGCTGCAGCAGCTGATCGAGAGCGGCGCCTGCGTTAACCAAGTCACCGTGGACTCCATCACGCCCCTGCACGCCGCCAGTCTGCAGGGCCAGGCGCGGTGCGTGCAGCTCCTGCTGGCAGCTGGCGCCCAGGTGAGTGGGCCTGAGGGACAGACCCCCAGCCTGGCCGCAGCTGTGGGAGTGAATGGGGAGACCTCTCGAGGGAAGAAAAGAAATGGGTTGGGATTGTTTTCTATGATTGCAAATACAGGAGCAAGTGACATTTGAGAGACTGTTAAGGATAGGCGGGAGGATCACAGAACTGGGGGTGCTCAAAGCTAGGGCATGGCACCTGTGGACCAGGACGTGCAGGGCCAAGAAGTGTTCATGGATGGGACAGTTTTAGCAAAGTGGTGGTGGGGTGCTTTGCTCTGTGGTGGGCAGGGCCAGGCAGGTCAGTCATATCGTCCTCCACACAGGCTCTCAGAATACATCTGGGCCTTACTCTAAACATCTGTGAATGCTCAAAGAGCAGGATGGCTAAGCTGGGTGCTGGCAAACCAGCTCTCTAGGGGAAAAAAGGAACAAAACCCAAATTCTGACTTAGTGCTTTCCCTAGTATACACACTCACAGCATGGCTAATTTTAGTTTCCAGCCAGCTGTTTCCTGGCTGTTTAGAAACCAGCCCTGGAGAGCTGGCAGGAGCTTCTCTGCACAGTGGGTGACTTGATTTAAAACCCATCATTGTGCCCTGCTTCCCACAACTTGCAACTTCTGTCTTTCCTTTCCTGCTCTCTGCTCATTATTTGCTTGAGGTGGTGGTGAGGGTGAGGCTGAGCTTATCTTGTGCCAGGAGGAAAGAACCTTAAATGGAGACGTCTATACTTAGGGGGCACTCCCACCCCCAACCCGCATGTCTTGTCTTTCTCTTTGAACTCCCTTGTCTGGCTTAGTGCCTTAGTGTACAGTAGCACACTGGCACTTCTAAGAGGTTGTCTTTGCATAGGTGAATCTGCATGAAGATGAGAAAGTATCACATGGAGTTTACCCTGTCCTTTGATACTCATTTCTTCTTCTTCTTGAGGTGGATGCCCGCAACATCGATGGCAGCACCCCTCTCTGCGATGCCTGTGCCTCAGGCAGCATTGAGTGTGTGAAACTCTTGTTGTCCTATGGGGCAAAGGTCAACCCCCCTCTGTACACAGCATCCCCACTGCATGAAGCCTGCATGAGTGGTGAGTCATTGATGAATTAGTGGCCATTGAAATCATCTAAGAGTCCAAAGAAAGATGGTGTCATTGGATGGATCCACTTGAAAGATTTGGCGGAAGGATTGGTAGGACTTGATTCGGCAGAGAGGTGCAAAAATGGGGTGAAAAATGAATGACTCTGGTTCAGGACTGGAGGTATGGCTTAAGTGGCAGAGCAGCTGTCTAGCAAGCACAAAGCCCTGAGTCCTAGTACTTCTATTCCATAGAAGACCCAGAAAGAAACCCACACAGCCTATTCAACAAATGGTGCTGGGTAAACTGTCTATCCACATGTAGAAGACTGAAACTGGATTCCTATCTCTTACCCTGTACAAAGATCAATTGAAAATGGGTCAATGAGCTGGGAGCTGGTGGCTTATGCTTGTAATACTAGTTACTCAGAAGGCAGAGATCAGAAGGATCACAGTTTGAAGCCAGCTCCAGGCAAATAGTTTATGAGACTCTTTCTTAAAAATACCGAACACAAGACAGGGTTGGCAGAGTGGCTCAAGTGTCAGAACATCTGCCTAGCAAATGTGAGGCCCTGAGTTCAAACCTCAGTACCACCAAAGAACAAACAAACAAACAAAAAACCCCAAAACACAGGTCAATGATCTTAATGTAAGATCCTAAACTTTGAAAGTACTACAGGAAAACATAGGGCAAACCCTTGAAGATATAGGCATAGACCACTGTTTTCTGATAGAACTCCAATTGCCCAGGGAAGAAGAGAAGTGAGGACAAATGGGATTGCATCAAATTAAAAAGTTTCTGCACACAATTGAATCAAACTGAAAAGCTGATTTCAAAGGAAACAGTTGCCAGGATGAAGAGACAACCCACAGCCTGGGAGAAAAATCTCTGCAAGCTATCTATTAGATAAAGGATTAATATCCAGGATATATAAAGAGCTCCAAAAATTAAACACTGAAAAAACAAATAGGTAAATAAATTGAACAGATAGTTCCCAAAAGAAGTATGAATGGCAAATAAATATATGAAGAAATGTCAACAGCCTTAGCCATAAAGGAAATACAAATCAAAATGACACTGAGATTCTATCTCACCCCAGTTAGAATGACTATCATCAGGAAAACAAACAATAGCAAATGTGGCAAGGAGGCAGTGGGGGTATGTGGGGAGGTGGGGATGGGGAAAGGAAATCTTATGCAGTGTTGGTAGGAATGTAAATTAGTGCAGCTACTACATGGAAATTAGTGTAAAAGTTCCTCAAAAAGCTGAAAGTTGGGCATATATCCAAAGGAGTGTAAGACAACATATGACAGAGACACCTGCATGCCTGTGCTTATCTCAGCACTGTCCACCATAGCCAAACTATGCTATCAGCCCACGTGCCCAACAACCAATTAATGGCTGAAGAGAATATGGTATAAGTACACAATGGAATATTCAGCCTTAAGGAAGAATGAAAGTATGTCTTTTGCAGGAAAATGAATGGAAGTGGAGACCATCATGCTGAGCAAGATAAGCCGAGCTCAAAAGGCCAACTATTGCATGTTTTTGCTCACATGTGGAATTTAGATAATAATAACAATAACAATAATAATAATGGGAAATGAGCTTAAAAAGAGGACTCTCTGGCTAGGGGAACCATCAGGGGAGGGGAACTAGTGGGAAGAGAAAAGGAGGGAAGTGGTGTTGGGGATGAACATAATCAAAGTACAATTGAAGTACATATATATACACATATAGATGATAGAACAATGAAACCCACTGAATACTGTTTGAAGAGGCGGGGAGAGAGGTAGGGTTTAAGAGAGTTTAAAGGGGATAAATTTGATCAAAGTACATTGTAAGCTATGGAACTCTCACAATGAAATCCCTTTGTACAATTAATTTACACTAATGAAAAATGACTCAGGTTGAGCTGGGAGCAATGACATTGACTGAAAGTAACTGACCAGGAACAGGGAACACAGGAAGGGGAAAGAGAAGACTGGGTGATGGCCCCAACATCTAGATGAGCCCGGTATAAGGCTGGATTTTAGGACCAGAGGTGGAAATTGGGTAGCTGCTAAGAGTGAAGAGGCAAGGGATGAAACTGAGTGAAGTTTGGGACAGAGTATACCTGGAAAGGAGAGAAGAGGACCCTGAGGTTTGATCCAAACCTGCACTAAAGAGAGGAAGAGGAGCCAGGAGTGAAGCAGAAGAGGCTCTGGAAGGCAACTTGCACAGTAAGAAAGTTGGAGTGAGTTTATTCAGGAGGCTGGATGGGGATGCCAGCAGCCAATTGTCATAGGTTGAACACTACTTGTGGTAGAGGGGCAGCCTCATAGGGTGAAAGGGGTCAAAAGAGTCTTCTCTAGCTGTTCTCGGGTGGTGACCCAAACCTTTTGTTCTCAGTGGGAGTATGGCCATGACCTTTCCTTGCACTGCCAGGTGGGCTACAAACCATCCCACTCCTTGGGGGAAAGGACAGGCTATCTCTTGGGCTTCCTGAGGTCTGTGTAGGGTTGTAAACTGTTCCTTAGGTTGGGATATATAGGCTATTACCCCTTCTGTTCCTTGAAGTTAAGCACAGGGTGATCTGTTCCAGCTGCTGTTTGCCATGCTTAACATTTCTAATGTACATATTCGTGAACATTTCCATCCTTTTCCATTTATTTTAAGGGAGCTCTGAATGTGTGAGGCTTCTTATTGATGTTGGGGCCAATCTGGAAGCACATGATTGCCATTTTGGGACCCCTCTGCACGTTGCCTGTGCACGGGAGCATCTGGACTGTGTCAAAGTACTGCTCAATGCAGGTGCGTGGCTCTTTACCTGCATGGGTGGCTTATCTGGAGTGGTATTTACCTGCATGGATAGCTTATCTGTTGCTGTGTCTGTCAGACAACTGATCAGCTAGGGAGACAGACCAGTGTTCGAAGCTGTCTCTCTCATTTGTCAGGGAGACCTTGGCCTCAGTTTCTCTATAAAGCTGAAAAAATAAAACCTATTTTTCAGTTCTATTGGGAAGATTCTTAATGTTTACATAATACCTACTGTGTAGTTGGCACTTAACAAATGCATATGGCTATTTTTAGAGGACACAGGCAACCATTCACAATACCTGCCTAATGAGGTTGCTGTCTGACTCCTAGAGAGATAGGGGTGTAAGGAGAAATGGAGTTGGCAGGATTTAGGAGAATGGAGCATTTGGAGTCTGGCCATTGGCAGATGTTCAAAAAAGGCTCAGTGTAGACATTCCCAAAGAGGAAAGAAGGTCTGTACATGTTCAGGACAGATGCAGTCTTTTTTTTCCTGAATATTTTTGATCCTCGGTTGGTCGAGTTCACGAATGAAGAACCCATGGATAGGGAGAGCTGACTGGTATGAAGGAATCGGTTACAACTAAGTAAACAATGAAGGGTGTTTCTTGGTTCAGGTCACAAAAGGTGGGACATACAGCAAGTGTAGCATCAGTTTGACCTTGGGGTCCATCAGTGTCCCAGAGACCTCTGTGTCTTTGAATTTTGCAGTTCTGCCCTCCTTGTTGTTAGCTATTTCCCAGGACAGTGGCCAAATGGTTATAGCAGATTCAGGTTTAAAATCCAAGCACTTTGCTTTTTTAAGGCTCACATAGCTTTTTCAGAAAAACAAAAAGTTTTCCAGATGTCTTTGGCACATCTCCCTAGTGTTCCATTGGCCCAAACTGGATCCACATCCAAACCTAAACTAATCCCGTTGGCCCCAGCTTTGCCAATTCTGATTGACTCAACCCTTGATTATGTGAATCAGTCAAGACCTTCCCTGGAGCTGAGGCTCCGTTGGTCTGCTTACCCCATGCTAACACCCAAACCCCACAGTGCTAGGTGGTACCACAGTGGGTGAAGGTTGGAAAGGAAGGGAGAACAACTCTGATGTCTGCTATAGCCTTTCTAAAAAGAGCTGGAAGCATGGCTCAAGTGGTATAGCACCTGCCTAGCAAGTACAGGACCCTGAGTTCAAGTCCCAATACTACCAGAAAAAAAGTTACCCATTTTTCAAAAGGAGTTTCCATACGTACCTGGGAAATTAAAGATGTTGAGAAATTTTGGGGACGTCTCCTTTGTGTGATTGTCAATGTTAACTCTTGTTGATACTATAGCTGTCAGCTCTGTGTATAACCCTCAGTGACCATTCTGATCTTCTCAAATGATCTCTTTAAGTAACTCTTCTTAGATCAACCAGATTATCTCTTAATTTTCTTTCTCAGAACTACTTTTTCATTGTGGAACATTTTGAACCTACGAGCAATAGTGTGCTCCTGTGTACTGACAAATGGGTTTTTAAAAACAGTAGTTATTTTGCACTTTTAGGGTTGGGTCATAGACCTGTTGGAAAACCTAAGGAGAGCCATGTCCTATGCTTTCAGAAAAACATGCAAGCAGATGCCTCCATGTGACTTCAGAAGCCTTGGCTCTGCTTGAGGAGTGGCCACGTTGTACTTTATAGGTGGACACAGATGGTGGCTTTTTCTGCTCTCTTTGTAGGCAGAGAGGCTAAGAGAGGTCAAGTCAAGCAACTAGATTCTGTTTGTAGAAGAGGAGGGCTGGGGAAGGTGGAAGTCCAAGAACCATGGTGAAGTTGTTTTCCTCTGATCACTAGCAGTAAATATTAACTGCTGGGAGTGTACAGAAGTAGCTGATTGAGATTATTGTGCTTCCACCTTTGCAGCACAGTCCTCATTACCAGGTTTTTCACTTTCTTGTTGCAAAAAGCATACATTAAGCTGTTTGTGTATGCATATCTTCAGATTGTGCCAGTCCTCAGCAGCATGCTAGGATGTATTAGGGTATCCTTCACTTCACTGGCCATGGGTTTATGCTGAATCCACTTTTATCCTACTCTGCTTTGAAATCAGATTTTGGTAATAAGCCAACTTTGACCCTTTTCTCTGAAGCATGAAGTTGAGGGTTTTTAGTGCCCAAGTGGCATTGGTTGTTTTGCTGGCTCCCCTTCTCTCTCTCTCTCTCTCTGTCTCTCATCTTAGGTCAAAACCTGTCACCATCATCAGGCACAGTGTCACTTTCCCTTTCTCTCCTTCCCTGTCTTTCTCCCTTCCCTCTTTCCTATGCTTCTGTCCTCCTTCTTAATGTGTATCTTATCTGTATGTGTGTGTTTTTTTTTCTTTTTTGGAGATACTGGGGTTTGAGCTCATGGCTTTGTGTTTACTGGGCAAGTGCTCTTCCTTTTGACCCATACCTCTAGCCCCTCTTTATGTTTTCATAAGTACACATCATCAGTTGAGACATGTATTTTTAATGAACACAAATGGTATTGAGTTAATATCTTGCTCTATTTTCTTTTCCATCCTGCATATTCATCCATGTTGTTGTGTGCATACCTGGTTTGTTGTTTCTAAGTGGTGCTGATGATTCTAGCTTCCCTCTTCACTCACCTTCCTTCCTTTACAAAAAAGTCAATCAAATGATGCCATGCATAAGAGTTTACCTTGGGAAGTCATCTTGAAAGAGTCAGTGTCCAAGGCCTTGCCTACAGAGGTACCTTAGCAAACAACATGCAAAGAGAGGTGATTTTTAGAGTTTTTTCCAGCTTCCATTTTTCTTTCTGATCTTGAGAGAGTAGCTTTGTTTCCTGTGTCTCTTTCTCCATTGTTAAAATAGAGACAATCACCTTCTTCCCCTGTTGGCAAGAATATTGCCAGAATTAATGAGAGAAAGCGACTTGGACTTCAGATTCTGTGGGCTTTATGATTTACTTTTCATTATAAGTGTGTGTAGCATTAAAATTTGCTTTTGCATTATGATTGCAACACTGTAAAATGTTTTATTCCTTTAAGCAAATATTGGAATAAAATCCCTGATGTGGATTATAGTGAAAATATTTCTTTATTGTATTTTATTGCTTTTGTAATCCATTTATGCTAAAAGGAATGATTAAGCTAGCTTTCTTCCTAGATTTAGGGTTCATTTTTTCCTGCCCCAAGTTCCGAATTTTGGCATGGGAAAGGAAAGAGCTATTTTTCACCATGTGGAATGCTCACTGCATTCTTAGAGTCACACCCTGAACAGCCATGAGCACAGTTCTGATGTTCCTTTAGAGGGTTGAAATTATTTTAAAGCACAGAGCAAGATTTTCCAACTACATTTGGAGCAGTGGGACTGGCAAATGGAATAGCCTAATACGTGATCATTTTCTTCTCCTTTGACAGCCCTTCATCCTTTGATCATCTACAGTTATCAGGAAGTGGTGGTGTGTTATTAGTATATTTTATGTTTTTAGGATTCTGGTTTGAGTCTGTTATTTGGGGAGATTACTTTATTGATGCTGGGCTATTTGCTTAGTTTCTTTAAAATAGTTTTTATCTCTTTTCTAACTCCTTATCAACTCAGAAGTAGACTTCAAAGAAGTTGGCTTACAACTTTTATTGCAAACAAATCCTGAGGCTCTAGGGGATTTCATTGTATAGAATCAGTGATTGCTGTGCCCAGAAAATGACATTTTACACAAATTTTATCAATATCTTTGGGGGCAGTGGTACTAGGGCTTGAATTCAGGGCTTTGTGCTTGTTAGACAAGCGCTTGTACCACTTAAGCCACACCTTCTATATTTTTTTAATGCATTGAAAAATGCCATGTTCTTTTACTAATTCTTTGCATCATTCTGAGTGTCCCCAGAAAGATAAGAAAGGTAGAGCTGAATTCACAGTTAACTTTTAGGGTATGTTAACTATTTTCTTCTTGTTTCTCCTATTTTGTGAAGGGATATATATGGTAGGGAATATTCATTCTTTCATTCAACCAATATTTTTAAAGCTTGCTGTATCTTTCTGTTAGGAAGAAGTGCTGTGTATCTGCGTGCAAGAGATGGGAGCAGTTGGGTGTCCCAGCCTGAGATTCTAGAAATCTAAGCTCCTCTAAGGCAGAATGTTTAGGGCATCAGAACTGGTGTTTGCACCATGAGGAAAATTTTTTTTCTTCTTTTTGGTTCAATTTCCAGTTATATTTCTTTATTATCACTAACCCATCTTTCGTAAGAAAAAACAGTCCTTTTTATGCTTAGATTTTGAAAAACATCTGTAAAGCTATAGTAGAGTCTGTCTTGATTTTGTTTTCTGGATGGGGATTGTTTTTGCACACTTCCAAAGAGAGAAGTACAAATCAGTTTTTCCTCTTGACTCCAAGTTCAATCCTTGGTGACACATGTTCTCTGCTCTGGACCTCCAGGGGCCAATGTGAACGCAGCAAAACTTCACGAGACAGCCCTTCATCACGCAGCCAAGGTGAAGAATGTCGACCTCATTGAGATGCTCGTTGAGTTTGGAGGTAACATCTATGCCAGGGACAACCGAGGCAAAAAGCCATCAGACTACACCTGGAGCAGCAGCGCCCCTGCCAAGTGCTTTGAGTACTATGAAAGTGAGCCGGCTGCCCTGTGCACATACTCTTGTATCCCAAGCTGCACAGTCACCATTCAGCTCAGGCCCCCACTTTGCTGGTTCTCCTTGAGCTTCTGCTGATGGCTCTGTGTTTAGTCCTGAGCGTCTGTCCCTTGCTACTAGGATGTGCATTGCCGTACTTCATTGGCAGGAGCTGATTTGTGCTGATCCACCAGCTCTTGCTGGGTTATCTGTGACATCACTGGGGAGAGTAGAGTCCAGGGTCTAGAGTGCCAGGTGCCAGCTGCTACCACCTGTTCCAGCATAAACCTCCCACCTATGCCTTGTTTTGCTGGACGTTTGACAAACGAGTCTAGCTACAGATTAGTTCTTTGCTGAGAAATCCGTATGCCAAGTGATAACACTATGGTTCATAAAAACAAAAACAAAAGATCTCTACCCAAAGCCAAAAACCCCACCAAAATGAAATCCTCATGGACATTACCTGAATTCTAGTTCCTGCCCTTCCTCCAGTCCCTGGCTGTCCTTTCTGGTGACCTTTCAGAGGTGGCATGCAGGCACATCCTAATTCCAGGGCAAAGGGAGGCCTTTCCAATTCTACCTTTGTATTCATTAAGTTGTAGGATTTTGTGTTCCTTCCTGAAACTAACCTCCCGTACTTCTTTGGTTCCTTTTTCCAGAGACACCTCTGACCTTGTCACAGCTCTGCAGGGTGAGCTTGAGGAAGGCTACTGGTGTTCGAGGACTGGAGAAAATTGCCAAGTTAAACATCCCTCCCCGGCTCATCGACTATCTTTCCTATAACTGAGCTGCAAGCAGGGTCCTGGCTGGCTGAGGATTTGACTGGTTGTTGCCTTGCTGTGCCCAGCTTCAGGCCAGAGAGGGTTCTGTTTGTCTGAAATGCCATCATTTGAGTTCCTTTCGGCTGTCCTGTTTGGTCTCCTCTTCTGAATCCTGGAGAAGACTTCCGAGGTCTCTTAAGACTTGTGTCTTGGGTCACTGTTGTGGGTGAGACCCAGTGTTATTCCTCTTGAACTGACGCTCTCACTCCAGCATAGGCCCAGCCATCCAGTTTTCCTCTTTTTACCAACTCTCCTCAAAGGCACTATCTGGACAAGTGTCTCAAAGAGCCCAGCAGAAGCCAGCTGGGGCTGGGGAGTCAAGACCCTGCTGTCAATTTTCATGTGTCTGGGTATCATGTTGCAGAAGCACCAGGTCCTAGTGACCATGTGGCCTGAGATGACTGCTCTGCTGACATCTACCACCTGGACACTCTTTCTGGGGTAGCAGTTGACACTTTCCAAGGCCTACCTGCCCAGGTGTATCCATCACTCGGGCTTTATACGGGTCATAGTGGGGAAGGCTTAGGCTTTGTATCCCCACAACAAGCAGTGTTTCTTAAGACATTTGTCTCTAAAATTACATCTTAACTCTTGAAAAGTTTGTGTAGGATGAAGAACCTTTAGATGATATGTATATGCTGTAACACTAAAGATTTGTAAATGAGCCATACAAACAATGAGTAATGTGAAGGCTGTTGACTTATACTTTCACGGGTAGTCATTTCTAATGTAAAGGGCTATTAGAAGACTTTTTCGGGGTTGTTTTTCATGTTTCTATAGTTGTCATATGAATTTTTCATCCATCCATTTTTGCTAACTCCTTGAATCTATAAAATCAGTAGGAGAGGGTAGAACCCAGTAGGCAATAGCATCCATTTCTTCATTCATTTTCCAGATTCTTATAGAAACTCTGTCATGCCAGGTGTTGGTCCAGGGATTTGAACTGGATGGGAGTGAGACTGATCAGCCAAGGCATGAAAAGAAAGTGTTTCACAGTCCTTTACTATAGTCACAGAAATGATTCCTTTACATTATAGGCCACAAGGTGAAATATTAAGTCTTGTATTCAGACTGTATACACTCTATCTTAATTAAAAACAAAACAAAATAAAACATTCAACAGGGAGTTAGAGGATTTTGCATAGTCATCTTCTACTGAGGTGAAGTGAAGAACCACTCCCATTCCATTATAATCTTAGATCCAAGTTCTAAATAAATGAATACTTGAATGTTTCTGCATGTAATAATAGCAACAATATTTTTCTTAAAACTGTTGGTTCTGCCACTTTCATCTTCGTAACAGAAACTTGCATTTAGCAATGAAATCTTATGACATCTCCATCCAATGTAACTCCTAGTGAAGAATCAGGTCCCCACATCCTTATTGCGCAATAAAAGTGATTGAATGAAGTTCATCCTTGTGTTCATGTGACCCATTTATTATTAGGGGCAGAGTGCTGGTTTGCAAGCCCTAAGCCCTGAGTTTAAAGTTCAGTCCCAACCAAAATGAAAAAGTTTAAAAACTTAATAGAAAAAAAACCAAGCAAATAAGAAGCAAAAGAATTTACAAAAGAGGCATCTTCAAATGTCTACCTGCAAGACACTGAAATTAATGAATATTTAATTCAACAAAATGATACCAGATTCCATCATCTTGATAGATATAAAAGATGACAGTTTTATAATGTCAATGGATTAATTATATGGCAGACAGGAATGCACAGGCTATTAGTGGCAAATAAACTGAGGAGCTCTTAGGTGACATTTAGCCTGATTAAAAGTGTGCATACCCATGTCTCTAGTAGTTCTATATTTAAATAAATATGCTCTAATGACACTCTCAGACATGTCACAAGGCAACACATGTGAGTATGTTTACTGAAGCTATATTTGTAGCAGTAAGAGACTTTGTCAGTAGGGATTACATTGTAGAAAATACTCTTTAATGCCCACACTCTATAAAAGTTAAGATGAATTAGATGTTTTAACACAAATAGATCTAAAGTTACACATGGTAGGTGAAAAAGTTGCCAGATCTTATCTATGTATAGTATGAATCCATTTGTGTAAATTTAAGTATAAAACAGTCTAAACATGTAAAGACACCTATGAATGCAGCAAATGCATAAAATAACAGAAACTATACACCACCATCCTGACTGTGGTTACCTCTGGGAAGTGAGTAAGGGTGCATAACTTTGGGATGGGAACAAAAGGAATTTCAACCTGGCAATATTTTCTTTCTAAAAATGTTGCTCTGAATTAAACATGATAGAATGCTACTGTTAGTTCATGTTGTGAGGCAAATAGAAGGGTGTGTTAAAACTGGACCTGGCGGTGCAGGCTTGTCGTCCCAGCTCTCTACAGGCTGAGGCAGAAGGACCAGAAGTTGGAGACCAGCCTGGGTTATATAGCTACACCCTGTGTCACCAGAGAAACGAAGGAAGAGAAAGAGAAGAGGAAGGAGAAGAAATAAGAGACAGAGAAAGAACGATAGTTATGTGTATTCTGCTATTTAATATTTAATGAAAATTTAGTGCAGAGAGGAGCAACAATGGATAAAAATGTCTTTCTCTAAAAAACAGACAAAAAAGGAGACATCTATGTGACTATTATAAACTGGATTCTGCTTAAAAAACACTTTTCATGTAGGCATTGACACTTTTTTCCTGGACCCAGTCTTCTTAAACCAGACCTTAAAATCCCTAGGTCATGTTATTTGACTCACAGATCTACCTTCATCTTCTTTGAAGGAAATTGCTGGATAAAATGCCGTTTATTGAGCAGTCGCACCTACTCTGGTACAGCTCCCTTTTCCTAGATGATGATGAGTCTTCTAGATGTGGCTCTGTACAAAGTCCCCAGCTTCAAACCCCACCCTCTGGAGAGATCAAAAGCAGTGCCTGTCAATTAGGGACCATTTTGCAGCTGCACAAGCTGTCCCCAGCCTGTGTTGGGTGGCCAGCTGAGCACCCTGTTCCTGTGTGCTCTTTGTCCTCCACAGATAGAAGGTGAGAGGTGGTGAGGGGAGGTGAAGAGGTTGCAGTGAGGCCAGCAGCAGCTCTTCATCTCATTTATTCCCGATGATCTCCCAGAATCTTCTCCCTTTCTGTACTGTAGGAATGCAACCCATAATATCCCATTCAACGTCTAGGTGAGTCCCCAGAGAGCTTGGAAAGTATTTGGAGCAAGATCGCCTTTGAATGTCCATTTCCTGCTGGGGTAGTTTTGTTAGAAAGACTGCTCATGCTTGCTTTCCAGGGGCAACATCACTCCCTTCTCAGCAGTGGAGTTCGTTTACCCACCAAAGTGAGCACAAAACTGGCTCTGAGAACAAAGTCCTCAGCTTGCTCATATTGTGAGCAGCTGAGCTGTCCTACAGACGAAGGCGACACCACAAAGGCTCTGGCAGGCTGTGGATTGTGTCCCCCACCCTCTGAGTAGCCATGTTCTCCCAGGAATGGCCTAGAAAATATTTATAGACCCTGGAGTCTTCGCCTTTTCTTTTTTCCACCATGGAACCACATGGCACTGGCAGCTAGGTTCTACTTATGTTGTGAAGGTTTTGTGATCTCTGACAATTTGAAGAAAAATATGTCTTCAGTTGGTCCAATCTAAACAGTGCCTCCAAAAAGCCCAATGTCTCTAGACTGAGAATAAAGGGAGAAAAGATTCACGAACATTCCCTCCCTCCTCCCCCTCTCTCCCTCCTTTTCTTCCTCTCTCTCTCCCTTGTGTGTGTGCACACACGCATTTGTGTAAATAAAATTTTATTTCCCAGCAAGTGGTCTCCAGGTGTGAAATTCTCGTGACTACAGATTTTGAAGCTGGGAGAATTTTCCCCTGAACTCAGCCAGGATGTACACTTAGTTTATTGGTCTTCATGTCAAAGTGTTCAGCAAAGACAATTCCCACTGCTTCTTCCTGAAAAATCCAAAGATTGAAGCTCATTTTGCTGCGTTGTAGACAGAGAGCTGAGACAGGACAAGAAGGGATATTTACTCATTTCTTGGTCCACTTTCCCATCCATCACTCTTCATCTTTCCTTCTTCGATTTGTACCAGTTCTTAGATTCTTTGCTGGGCACTAAGGATAAGAAAACAGAGTTCAGAGTCTGGTTTCTCAGGTCATAGGCACTGGAACAAAGGCCATGTCTGGTGATGAGCAGGTTAGAAGCAGGCAATGGTCTGATTTCATAGGTAGAAATCTTTGCCCCCTGCCAACCCCTATTGGATGGTATTAGGAAGTGAATCCTTTGGGAGTGATGAGGACTGGAGAGTGATGAGTGATATTACTGCTCTTATAAAAAAGGCCCCAGAAAACTGCCTTTTCCCTTCTGCCTTGTGAGGACACAGTGAGAAGATACAAATTGTGAACCAGAACACATTTCTTCAAGGAAACAAATATTCCAAATGATGTTTGGGTACCCAGGGCAGCCTACAAGAAATACTAAATTGATGTAATTTATTGTCTCTGATCGAGCATAGGTTTTGCTAGGTCCTGTTTAAGTAACAGGAGTAAAACCTAGAATAGCAGCCAAGCAACCCCGGACAGGACTCTGCTCAGGGCTGTGGAGATGACTGTATGGAAGTGATCACCACATACCAGCAAGGAATTGTGATGCAAGATTGAACAGAGAAGAAATATGACTGCATCTACTCAAGATCAAACAAAATGCAATTGGAAATATAGGCTTTGGATTTGTGTTGAACTTGAGAAAAGCAGAATGAGGATCAGGAGGTGAGGTGCTTTTGGTACTTGGATGGACTGTGGAAATTTTTATAACATTTGAGCATTCCTCAAATATGACTTCAAAATACAGGGGGTTACTTTTGCTTGGCACATGACCACTCCCAGGACACTCTGTGTCCAGGACATGCACACTCTAGTGAAGGGCCAGTCTGGAGTAAAATGGAAGAAGAGTGTGAAACAAAATAGATAGTGAGAGAGAAGCAAATAAATGTCTCCAGTTATTGGGCTGGAGTTGAAGGAGGAAAGGAAATTGGATGGATGTTGGAATTTTGATCCAACATAGTTTAGGTATTATTTGGAGTGATTTTCAGGGGTTTGATACCTCAGGATGGATTGGGAAAAAGGGATTCTATGAGTGGGGCGTATTTTGCAAGTCTGATTGTCATAATTCAATATGAATTTAGGACCCATCACTTGCTAAACAATACTGTTGCTTAAAAATTGACATTTATTAAAATTGTTCTAATCATTGTAGTTAGGGGGTGCTGTAAGAAAGTAGTTAGGTTGGGATTCCCAAGGTTTCAGTCCAGGTGAACCTGACAGAGTAACTCACACCTCTCAATTTTTTTTTTTTTTGCATTTCACCCAGTATTGATTCTTTTTTTTTTTTAATTTTATTATTCATATGTGCATACAAGGCTTGGGTCATTTCTCCCCCCTGCCCCCACCCCCTCCCTTACCACCCACTCCGCTCCCTCCCTCTCCCCCTCACCCCCTCAATACCCAGCAGAAACTATTTTGCCCTTATTTCTAATTTTGTTGTAGAGAGAGTATAAGCAATAATAGGAAGGAACAAGGGTTTTTGCTGGTTGAGATAAGGATAGCTATACAGGGAGTAGACTCACATTAATTTCCTGTGCATGTCACACCTCTCAATTTGCCAGTGGAGAAATTGGGGGTGGGCAGGGCATTTTTCAAAGCTGTCTCTGCCATTCCAGTGTTTCTTAAACTTGTAGCATGCATCAGAGTAATGCAGAGGGCTTGTTAAAATGCGGATTGCGGCACTCTGTTCCCAGTGTTTCTGGAAAGCCTCAGGAGGGGCTCAAGAATGTGTATTTCTAGTAGCTATCAGGAGATGCTGGCATAGGAAGGAACCATACTTTGAGAACCACTCTTCTAATAAACTGCCTTTTCCTCTGCACCATTCTCTCTCATTTTAGTTTCTAGTCTTAGTTTAGTTAATGGTCTTTGAGTTGTAGCATGTTAGGGAGCCCTCTGCTCAAATCTTCCAGAGTTTGGAGTGCTGCCACAGCTAAGGCCCCTTTTCTATTGAGGACCCTGCTTCTTTTTCTATTGTTCTCTGCTTCCTAGAGAAATTGTTCCTAACTAGTTTTCCTAAACTGGAGAACGTAGACTTGTGTGTTGCAGATCTTGGCTGCAAAGAATCTTTTTTTCTCTTTTAGTGGTGGTACTGGGGTTTGAACTCAGGGCCTCATGCTTGCTAGGCACATGCTTCACTGCTTAAGTCATTCTGCCAGCTGACTGCAAATAATCTTATTATGTATTTCTCTGTACTGCTCCTTGTTAAACTTCCAGTTGCAGCTAAGCATTTGAACCTTGGTAACCAAAC